CGGCTGAATGGGCGAGCGTGTTTTGGTGTGACAGAGATTCGAACCCGCGACCCTCAGATTGCGAGTCCAGTGCCTTAACCACCTGGCCATGCCGGGCCAATAAAGAGGTAGAAGCAGATTTACAACACTGAAATATCTATTTTTTACTAAAGCTATAAGGACTATTTTTGTTCGTTTTGGGTCTAACATAACTTCACAGCAGATTAGAGTTATAATTATACTTATTTTGTTTCATACGATGCTGAGCAAGAATCGTAAAAAACTGATGTCTTCGAACAATATGACATTATATTACTCATGTCTTTCTGTGTGTCATTATTAGTATTATATTTGTGTCGAAGGCTAAAATATTCGCACAAATATTGTACAAAAAATGTTGTTACTTCAAACATTCATGACGTTTAGAGAAGGTACAAACCAACTTAAGTGCTGTATAAACCAATTACCATTAAATCATGGTGATTTACAACGACTTGTATGGACTTAAATATGCCTATTTAAATTATTTCCTCATTATTCAAATATCTTAGCTTTGGTTTTTGATCCCTGATGCTCTTGTAATTATTATATTAGGTTTTGCATTTTTCAAAATATAGGAAAATTAGCGCAATAGAAATGCCCATACTCGAGTCGAGTTTCATATTATAGCGTTGAATTCACGAATCATGTTAGAAATAAGGAAAATAACTATGTGAATATATATTAACAAAAGTACTGAAATATCACACCTCAATGAGGGTAAACATCATGTGTTACTTCTAGGACGGTATTTTAATAGTTGTTGTTGTTTGTTTGTTTGTTATTAAGCACAAAGCTACACAAAGGGCTATCTTTGCTCTGCCAACCATGGGTATCGAAACCCGGTTTCTAGCAGCATAAGTCCGTAGACTTACCACTGTGCCACTTGGGGTGGTGGCGTATTTAAATTGAAAATTGGCATAATTTCGGCATTAAACCAGTTTCAAAGCTGATACGAACATTTACTACAATGAATGGTAAACGTCCAAGGGAATAGATTACCACTCCACAAACTCAGAAGTTCTAACAGTAATGAGATTCCAGAGTCTGTCTCATAGGTAGCATTCTAAAACATTCCACAGAAGGTAAAGTGAATTAAGTTTGTGGTTCTGAGCTAATCAGTGAAGATTGTAGATGTTATTTACTGCACACATAGCTCTGCATTGCGTGCAATATCATGGTGCACTTTCATGCTGAAAGAATGGCATGGTTTTTCCACCGTAAAAGTCCAACAATACGATAAGACAATCACAAAACAATCGTGGCTTCATTAACGGTTGGTAGTGGATCAAGCTCAAAAAGAGATAAAAAAAAAAAAAAGAGTTCCATCACATATTACTGTGTACGTCAGTATTCACGGTTGTGATTACACCTGTATATCCAAATAAATCTTCCAGGTTGTCACACATACTGACTCGTTTATTTAACACAAACAATCTGTGAAACGCTCCAGCATATATCTGTTTTCGTTCTGTCCTGAAATTCCGAACTTTCTTTGAAGTTCTCATCAACTTATTTAATTACATAAATTATTGTAAATAAGAGTGTTTAGATACTTTACTCAGCTCTTTTCTCGTGGCAGTTCTATTCTATTAGGTACAGTGTGCTGGAAGAACGTTGATACAGAGGTATACATTTGGATAATCTAAAACAAATCTATAAGGATTGTGGGCAAGGAAATCACATCATGTTCCGTATATATATATATATATATATCTGTGCTAGCACTAATGTATTATGTATG